AAAGCAATGAGAACTCTAGGAACAAAAATATCACAAAATTGAGAAATCCATATGTCCTCTCCCCATAATAATACTGTGTTCACAATGTCATTTTCTAGACTTATTGGCTATAGCCAAAATGCTTCTGGCAACACATCCACGCAGAGCTGGCTCTATAGGAAGAGAACACCATACTGGAGGAGCTGTCCGTAAGTTTCATACCCAAAGACGGAGATGGCTGACAGGAAACATGCCTGGGAGAATCTCATATCCCTGAGGGGTTAGATAGAAGAAAAACCATCCTGAAGAGAAGTCTCCATTGTGCCCTCAGTGGTCCAGTGGCCTCCAAAAGCATGAATAGCAGGCGGCATCACGTGGGTGGGTACCCTGGGAACAGGTAGAGCTGCTGGCACAGAGTACTACAGTATTCAGACATCTCCTTGCATCGGTGGAATTCTGTGCCAGGGGCGTAGCCTTCACGCTCCTTGATAAGGGCATTCACCTGGGAAGGCAGAACCAATGGTCCAGAGTCTGAGATTCCTCTGTGCTTCCATGTACAGACCAACCAGAAGGGGAGATGAACAAAGTGTGCAAGCCAAGAAGGAAGACCACCACTATGGAGACACAAAGGCTTGTGGAGCCAGCTGGAACTGACTTACCTTAACAAGCATGTCGGCCACGTGCATGTCACAAGCTCTTTCAGAGAACACCTGAGTGAGGGCCTCAATGTACCAGGAACCCCGTTTGGTGTTCCGCATGGCAGCATTGCCTACAAGCAGAGGTGTGAAGGTCATGGGCAAGCCTCACAAAGTCAGACTTCTATTCCATCTTCTACCCTTCCTAGTATGAAGCAGACTTCAGTATGAAGACAAAACAAAACAAAAGAAATCCCACATCAAGGGCAGTATAACCCTTTGCATTCTTATGGTGTCTCCAAATACCTTTAAGGCAAGCATAGCCACATATCATGTCTGAGCGAGTAGGCAGTCTCATCTTCATTAATTCCTCTTTGCCAGCATCACTCTCCTCACACCCAGGGGATTGTGTGTGGCTCTTTCCATCTTGCTGGTCAACCCCTCTATCTGTCTCATCTGCAAAAAGACCAACAGAAGACATGAAGATGTTACTCCCTCCCATCTTTTATAGATCTGTCAAAGGTACACCCAAGTTCCCTGTAACTGCAACCGAAGAGCCATTTTTAGATGTTGCCTCCAACCTATAGGCAAAGAATTTAAAAAAATAAAATTAAAAAAGTTATTACTTTCTAAACAGGCATTATTGCTCGAGGGGTAACTTGTAAAGGCCAGGCACATGCACCTATATCCCTATTCCGAATTAAGTGCGAATGTGCCAAATTAAATACTTGCAAACGCAGTTAGGAATAATCACACTAACTTGTTCAGTTACTAATGTACAGAAATTACACTTTTTCCCCTGTATTAGACAATAAAATAGTGATATTCAGACTTAGAAGAAAAAATAAATAAATCTGCTTACTATTCATATTCTACATTAAAATTATAACCTTAAACTATGTTATCAGTTTTAAAAAATGAGAGTGTGATCAGAGGTTTTCACAGTGATTTTTCACAGTTCTAAAATTTTTCCTACTTGTTTATTAAGTTTGTAAGACAAACTTGATAAGCGTCCAAGACTTAGAGAAGCTCAAAACTAGAAGAACTTAAAATTAGAAAACAAATGAGTATTTTTCTCCTACAAACTGAACAAGCTGCTGTTTATTTTAGAGCTAGGAAGGAGTTATGTCTGTAGACAGGAACAGAGTGGAGATGGACAGGTTAGCACACCAAACCCAAGATCACCCTTGCACAGGACTTCCTACATGCAAGACACACAGAAGGTTGAAGACCTTGTGTTAAAGGACCAAGATTCAATGACTCAAAAAAATTTTTTTTTCTTAAATTTAAATTAAGTATCATCCATGCACCTACCAGGTACTGTCTCCTACTAAGAGCTCGGGGCACACGGAGCTAAAACTATGCTCTTATCCAGCTCATCCTTCTAGTCTGGGAGTCAATTATTGTATTTTGGGACGACTGGTAAGTTCAAATTTTCAGAGAAGCATCAGCTTCTTATTATACTTTAATGGGCCTGATTTGAGACACTGGTACAACAAAATTTACTCCAGAAAAAAGCAATTTCTTCATCCGTCCCAGCACTACATATACTTCTGAGGTAGGAAGAAAATGGCCATTAATGGTCTGTCTTCTTGTTACTGCCATCTAGGCCGGGCTAAGGATGTCCTTTAAGTGTACCTCTTGCCTTCAAGTTTCAGGCATATTAATCAATAAACATTATCTATCTTTTCTTCACAATTGCTTTCTATATTATTGCCCAGTTTTAGACATAGATTTCCTCTATTCCCTCAAATTTTTTAGGTGCTACTGTGTGTGTAACGCAGTGCTCTGGGTCTAGAGCAACATTTATGAATGAAAACATGCTTGCCCTCACATCCTCTTTTCTTAGTGCGGCTCCCCTTCCACGGTAACATTCCTGGAAAAATGCACCATGTTAATTTCAGAGTTAAACTCACAAAGTATTATCCATTAAAGCTCAAAGTCTCAGCTATGACTAAAGGTTTGTAATGAGCTGTGTTAGCCGCCTGTAATCAGCCACATCTCACTACATCACTTACAGAGATGCTTAGCCTTTTAGATTTGAGCACTGCAAATATATTACACAGTTGGGGTGGGTGGATGACATTAAATGATGGCACACTGTACACCTAGAAGATAAATGTTATAGTTTTGTGTTTCTTATGTGTTCCATCCCTTTTCTGGGAAAAGACTCTCTTCACACCTGTATAAAGCATGGAGCCATGGTTTAAGTTAATTTTTTCCCAGCCACAAAAGCCTCTTCAAACGAGCCTCAGATAAGATGACCTCATTACTGCATACTCTTACTTGTACAGTTGCTATCACACAAATTTCATCCTTGCATGAGATCTAAACTCAAGATGCTCCACATACACTTGCTTTAATCCCCGAGTAATCCGAATACGACTTAGACATTTTCTTCTGCTTCTGTGATGGAATTTACAGTCACTGCAAGACTTTAAAATATACTCTGCAGTGATACACCGGGAAACATTAGGCACCTGCATGGTTGGATAACGAAAACTTTAACCCAATGAGGATGCTGACCAGGTTGTAGCAGCCATGGTTGACTTTCTTTCCACATTTACCCTCAAAGCTCTTAGGTACAAATTTTGATAATCATCACAACAGCTTAAAGAAGTTGACTACGCACAGTATAAGAAGGAAATGAAGTAGAGGGATGTGATGTGACTTCTCTAACTTCACATAATTATTAAGCAGCAGAGTCACAATCTGATTCCAAATTTAGATTCTTAATTACTACTGTTTTCCTCTAGATGAGAAGAAGGCCTATGTGTCTTCTGAGCCATGTTACACAGGCCTGGCTCTTAAAGGGGTAGAAGACACTGCATGCAAGAAAGAAGAGGACAGAAGCAGTTCAGGAGAGTCCGAGGCAGACATGAGGTCTGTACTGTTCTCCTACATGCTCTGAGAATGGTAAAGAAAGGAAGCAAGCGCATGGGAGCGTGAACACGGCACAGAGAAAAATGGAAGGGAAAGAGAAGGAAGATTAGAAGAGCCAGGCAGAAATCCTTAGCTGGAATGAGAAACAATAAAAAGGGCATTGCAGTTAATACGCAGAGAGGAGCCAAGTTCTTAGGAAAAGAGCACACACTGGTAAGAGATTCCTGACAGCCATGGAGGTGTTCAGAGCTGATCAGACTGAGAGCCATGGGCTGCCCAAGTCCTCGCACACCCCATGCATTGGGAGACACTTACAGAGCAAGAGAGGCGGTGGCAGCAGTGAACAGAAGGAGGTGCCCAAGGGATCCAATAGCACCTGAGAGGAGCAAACAGGAAAGTGAGAGCTGGTGGAGGCTGCCCAGGAGCCACCACCCAGATGCTGGTTTGCCAGGGCACTCACCTCCGCGACATGCTTGGATGAAGAACATTTTTGGCTTGTTCTGTAGACTTGGACAGTTAGCATTGTCAAAAAGTCGAAAAACCTCTTGGAGCTACCAGAAACAAATAAGGGAGAGGGGAAGTTAGGCAGCCAGCGAGACTTCTTGAAGTCTAACACATAACAAATTCAACCATCATCTGAAAGCTGATCATGTTAATGTGACAAGATTTATAATTTCTTAGGAGATACACCTTAGTTTACTTTTGAAGGTACTGAATTTCCAGGAAGAATTAGCTGAGAAGAAAAGACCTGGAACCCAGACTGAAAGAAAGGGTTGGTGCAAAGAAAGTCAGACATGCCAGCATCTCTTTTCTGCTACATGATCTACCTGAATGCAAGTAAGTAGCCTCATGCTCCTGTCTCCACCGGAGAGTTAGTTGGCTTCCTTGCCATGGGGGCTTATATCCTCAAATAGAGAGCCAAAACAAACTGTTTCTCCCTTAAGTTCCTTCTTGTTAAGTACTTGGTCTAAGACCAAGATAACTAATAGTGAAAACTGATGCCAGGGTGGGGTCAATACAGCCATAAACCTTCCCACATGGTTGGAGGAATACAGGAGCATTAGAAGCTGCTGGCTACCAAGCCCAGAATGCTGTAAGCAGGGCTTCATGGCCAATTCTAGTGGGATTTCAAGAGACTCAAGTGTTAATTAAGAAAAATGAAGACACAGGCCAGGCTCAGTAGATCACAGAGCAGATCAAGGACTTTAATGAGAACTCAGCTTGTGTCCTACTTTGGTCAGGAACTGGATATAGTCATCTGTATTCTGAAAACTTGAGGTAGAATTGAAATAATGGACTGATTTATTTAGCAGAGTATATTTTACCATAACATTCAGGCTGTGTGACATGGGTCACCATAGTGACCCACTGCTCACTAAACTTACCTACATTTATAGTGAGTGAAGTGTACAGCATAAAGATATAAAAATGTACTTTCATGAAGAAAGGCCCTTGAGCTTGGTTAAAATGAAGGGCATGGTAGAAATTCTTTATTATGTACCAGAACCCCCAGACTCTCAGGTGTCAAAGGTTCTAGGAAACATGTGTCCTCAAGGATGACTGGAGCCCAGCACTAGACATCATGGGAGAGAATTCTATTAGAGCCAGTAAGGCAAAAATTGAACTCTACATTAGACAATAGGAAAGGGGGAAACTAGGGGAAAAGATTCTAATCAAGAGAGTTCCATGGTTGAGGGTACAAATTTCCACAAAACAAGAGTACCTGAAAAAATTATCTTTAGGTGTATCCTACTGGATATAGGCTACTCACGGAAATATTTTCCAAGGGTCAGCTAAAAGTCAGAGGCTACTGTAGCTAGGCTACATCTCAAGCTGGCAGCAAAGAAGGAGGTAGAACCAGACACTTACACCAAGGTTTTAGAAAGCCAAAAGGCCAGGGAATGTGTAGCCTTAGCAAGGCTTGATACCCGTGTAGAACTCCCAAGTGGCTAAAACAGAAAGTGACTGCTAAGATGTAAACAGAGACATCATATAATGGAGAAAGCAGAAACATGGGACCCTTGCTATGGAAAGCTGTTGGCATCAAGAGAAGCAGGCCCCAAAGAGGCCACATAAGCCACATGCAAGCTGGAAGGAACAAGTTTATCATGTTAATTGGAGCAAATGATGCAGTGAGGAACCCTGGATGCTGAGCTGTGGGTCTGTCACTCATTCGAGAGGGTTCAGTGCGGTTTTTGTTCACTTCATTATTATGATCCCATTCCTTTCTTCTTGGAACAGAAATGTTTACTCTGCCCTTGTGTACTGAGTGAAACTGGTTCTCTCCCCAGTCTCACAATACTTTAAATTTATACTTTTGAACAGTTTTGAAACAACTAAAACTTAGGAGATTCTTAGAAATGTACTTTTCACTATGCGATGCCCATTAAATCTTAAGAGAACCAGGGACAGGTTATGGTTCAAACATGATCTGTTCGGGTGTCTTATGATAGGACTTAGAATCACAAAAATAGTTTCCTTTTTTTCTTGTAAAGATTTATTATTTGTATTTACGTGCATGTGTGCCTGCACTAGTTTATATGAATCAGGTGCATGGAGACTCCCACAGAAGCTAGAGGGTATTAGGTCTTTTGGAACTGGAATGACACGCTTGTTCTTGTGTAGCCTGATGTGGGTACTAGGAATGGAACCTGCATCCTCTATGGAGCAGTAACTGTTAAACCATCTCTCTAGCCCCTAGAACTGAGTTTACTAACCTTTAGGTCATAACTTCCTACGAGGTCTAAATGTGTGGGTAGCCAAAAGATTTATCAAAAGGCTTCTGATGCATACCTGCCAAAAGTTCATTCAAAATCAAATGCATAACGAATCCAAGATGCTTATGTTAGTGCTTGTTCTATTGTGTGACTTCATTTCAGCCTTAGTTATGAACATGTAATATGTGTACTTGGCACTGCGTGTCCCGGTAAAGCAGGCTTAAATACTTTGCTTAGATTTCTATAGTGTCTTTATTGGACAGAGAGTTTTAGCATAATGATCTAATTATAGAAACCTGACTTTTAATATTTTTCTATCAGCATTCTTCAGCACAGACGTATAAGACTGGTAATTTTTGGACTGTACTGTTAGAAAGTTTGATTTTAAAAACTGCTTTTTGAATTGCTGGATTGAGTTTCATAAAAAAAATTATTGAATGGATTTTGGCTTGGGATTGGGATTGCTTTTCCAACAATTTCTGAAACAGTCCAAAACATACATCTGTTATTTTATGCTATGTATTCATGTTAAGCAGTATTCTTAGCACTGATGATTATATAAAAAATATATATTAATTAACTCTGAAAAACAATGAAGATATTCTATGTCTAGCACTATTAAAACTTCAGATGACATGGTTTAACAAAACACCTTAAGTCCCCTCTGCCACAATGGACTGTATGCCTTCAAGCCATAAGCCAGAGTAAATCTTCCCTTCAGAAACTTCTTGTCAGGTATTTGGTCACAGCAAGGAAAAAGTAGCTAATACAGATGGACAGATAGGACATATAATGGCCTATTTTCAATGGTCAGCTTCCACAAAATTATACACACCTGAAGCAGTTTGCCATCCACACCATAGATGCCACCTTCCACACCATGGGAGAGGAGTGCCACTATGCAGGAGTCTGTGACCCGGTGTCCAGGTAACTGTGCAAAATTCTGAAGTTTCTCCTGCATTTCCTAGAAGACGGAGACACCTGCTGGTATTGTTCACTGCAGTCAGCATCAACAGCTGATGCTTGAATTAATCTCTGGCTTGCTTCAAAGAAACCTGACCTACTGGAAAATAGTGTTTTCCTCCATTTTCCTGTGATCAGTGTGATAACACATAAACTCTCTGAAAGGCTAAAGAAAACTATACACTCACAAGAAAAATGCACATGACTTCAGACATCAACCTCTGAGTACGGAGTCTTGAGTTCACTGAAATAGACTAAGAACTCCTGTATTAAAGTGAGTTACCTAAGAAGCCACATGGCGTACGTGGGGGTAACTCAGCAGGCAAAGTGTATCCATTAAAGTCTGAGGCTTAGAGCTTGGATCCCAGAACCTGAGTAATCCTGAGTGAGCACAGGCCTTGACTACCATACCACCTGGATGCAGAGATAGAGGAACTCCTAGGGCAGGCTGGCTAGCTAGCTACACTAACCACACTGGCAAGCTCTGGGGTCAACTAGCAGACCTTGCTTCAACAAGTAAGGTGGAGAGCAGTTAGACTCCTGACAACAACCCTAGGGCCTCTACACACACATACATACATACATACACACACACATACACACACACACACCCCTAAATACATGTCAACACACACACACATATACACATGTTAACAAAACAAACATGAAGTTACCCTGAGTGTGCTAACTTTGACTCATTCCCAAGCCTTCAGCCCATTTATACATAAGGAGACAGCACTTTCTCAGCTACAAAAGCATAAACTGCTTTGACACAGGATCAAGTCTCAAAACTGGAGACCAGCAGGACTTATCTCGTATCTGTCTGGATTCTAAGTGTGCCTCAATGATGTCTGCATCAGACGCATTGCTCAGGAGAAGCGGTTGTGATGTTCTTCCATACAGGGAAAACTTCATATATGGCTCTGAGATCAGATCCATTTAGTCAGGAAACCCAACTCATATATTACAACAAGAGACTTAGTCCCTCTAACTTCCAATTTTCATTTTATGATTAAATCATTACAAGTACATTTTCTTAGTTTGTGATGGTTAAGTGGGATATTGCACAGAAAGAATTTAAACAGATACTCCAAAGATCCTCCATTATTATAATAAATATGTCTGATAAGAGTATCCATTATACTTTGTAAACTTATGTCTCCCTTTGCAACTTAAGAGGTCCAGTCCAAGCCTTCTTTCTTACTTGCAGTGGACAGAGAGAAAGAAAGAAGAAACCCATCATTATGTTAGTTCATCTTATTACAACTTTTAAGGAAATAAAGTGATGGATTTGCTCTAAGCAGAACAGTCACAGCACACAAGACTCCCACTTATGCTCTTCACTCTCAACAGGCAGGTCATTTGTCAATGTCTTGGAGCTTTGAAAAGTGTCGTCTGCAGCAGCACTCAGAACTTGTGCAAAATCTGAAAAGCCGAGCTTCAGCAAATTATTTTAATAAACTCTCCCCCTAATTCTGACCTTTTAAAATTTAAGAGTTTCTAATCTATCTGCTTGAAAATATTTGTTTTTTGTTTTAGTGATTGTTTAAAGACAGGGACATACTACATAGCTCAGGCTAACCCCGAACTTATTATGAAACCCATACAGGTTTCGAACTCTCAGTCCTGCCTTAGTCTCCTAAGGTAGTATAGGATCACAAACACTCATTATTATGCCTGGCCTGTTCAGATACTTCTGCTTGCATACCCTGTAATATAACTGGAAATGGTGAAATTGGTTTTGGTTGAGAAAGCAGACATATTTTTTGGGTAAGCAGAAGCAATCCATAACATAGTATTTGTTTATAAATAACTATGAATTTATCTGAAGAGAATGAGTAACTGTGAACGTTCTCGAGACAGTTAAAAGTTAATTTTGCTTGAAGAATGGAATAAAAGTTATACACACATACACATACCCCTGGCCATGTTAAACTTGCAGCTTATTATATCAATAAAAAGGAGGACAATAAAGCTAAGAGAACATATATACTTTGTCATTGAATAAAGAGAAATCATTCAACGAATGTAGATTACTTATTTGGGTGGATTTTTTTCCACACATGATGCAGCTTAAAATAGGATCTGTAGATTGTTTTTTCTTAAAATAAAGTATAATATTTATATAAATAGCAGGGTTTGTAGGTCTTGGGTATTCTTTAGCTGGGGACTGGAGGCTGTATGAGTGGTATATCATCTATAGATAAATGCAAAGCTGTATAGTTACATTTTTGAGGGATGACCCATAGAATGTCCTTACATTCTCCCAGTTGTCTAACCCAAATGCAAATTAAAAAACAACAGCATGTGGTGAGAATCAAACTTACCACTTTAGAATACATCTCCACTTCCTGATGTGCTAAACTAGGATTCAAGAGTTAAGTTACCTCTAAAGGTAGACACAATGCGTATTTGATGAGAGACACTGAATACATAACTAAGTGGTAAGAAAACTAGTTAGTGTTCTCTTCAGCACCAACAGCAGAAAAAAATTCTCTACAATTAATTATATTTTTTTTACTTCAAGGGAATTACTACTAGTCAAAACAAATGATAATGATACAAAGGAGGATCTTAGATTTCTTGGTTGTGTTTCTCTGCTTGTCACATATGTTAAAAAAGTAGTCCTTAGGGGCTGGTGAGATGACTCAGTGGTTAAGAGCACTTAACCACTCGTGAGTTCATGAGTTCAAATCCCAGGAACCACATGGTGGCTCTCAACTATCCATAATGAAATCTGATGTCCTCTTATGGGGTGTCTGAAGACAGCTACAATGTACTTACATATAATAATAAATAAAAACCTTAAAAAAATAAAGTAGTCCTTAGATAAGCCCAACAAGAAGAGAACTCTGCACATTCCCAATGTATTCCCAATGTAGCAAAGTACTGTATTCAGAGCAAACGCCTGG